GTCGCAACAAATAATTTTTTTATGACAATTTTTTATATATGTCACTAAAAATTGACAATTAGTGACTTTTTTGTCATGATTTTTATAAATTATCGCTAAAACTTATAATTAGTGACGTTTTTCTATGACAAATTTTTTTCATAGGACCTATTAGACAATAAATTCACTTATTAGGATCTACACGTAAGTATTCTTAACAATTTTAAATTGATGAAATAATTATGTATTAATGTGTGAATAAATTCATTTTCTGTATATTAGTAGCCATTGTTGAGACTTTAGGAATGGAAAAAGAATTTGCAAGCAAGGGAGAGAGAGAGAGTGGGAGAGAGAAAATACAGGGTGAAACGTGAGGGTATATATAAAGGGAGCTTTTGTTTTCCTTTGTTTCATGGCGTTGCCCCAATGACATGGAGAATTACCCATCAGAGGTATTCGGAAAAATTATTTACAAAATAATAGTAAATATTATAAATATTAATAATTAAAATCATAAAATTTTTCATTAATGTGTAATTATTATTGAAAAATTCTCATGAATAGTAATTCCCCTTATTTGATTTTATTTATGTGTGAGAATTTTAAGCTTTATTTACTTTAATCGGGAGGGGTAGTTTGTTTGTTTGTTTTGTTTAGTCAAAATTTTAAGGGAGGCTTAGGTAGAAATTCTAATAAGTGGATTTATTGTCCAATAGGTACTATGATAATTAATGATATTTTCATTAAATACTATTAAAAAATGTCATTAATTGTTAATTTTTAGCGACAATATGAAAATTTTGCCACAAAAAATGTTACTAATTGTAAGTTTTAACGATAGTTTAAAAAAATCGTCACAAAAAAGTGTCATTAATTCACAATTTTTAGCGACAGTTTGAAAATTTTGTCACAGAAAAACGTCACTAATTGTAAGTTTTAGCGATAATTTATGAAAAACATGATAATAAAAAGTCACTAATTGTTAATTTTTAACGACATATGTAAAAAATTGCACAAAAAATTAGTTATAGCGACGATTTTATCAAGACTTATTTTCAATAGGATTTTATGAAAATTAAATTTAACTATTAAGACCTATTAGTAGTTTACCCAAATTGTGTTAAAGTACACTTCAAATTGAGAGTTTCAAAAATTAAATCAATCAAAATGTTTGTTTTGTTTAGACACCTTATCACCTTTTCTTGTTTGGAAATACTGTTAATTAGTTACATTTTTAGCCTTGCATGAAAAAACTGGTAGAAAAATTTAAAAAAAAATGATTTGACAAATTATAATAATTTTTTTACTATTTTAGCCAAATATCAAACAAGACCTAAATGTATGAGCAAAATTGAATTTTAATATACAACTACATTGGGTCACGTCATCTAATTCTATTGATTGATTTAACATTTGTTTAATTAAAAAAATTGTAATATAAATTGAAATTTCAAAAGATGAGTTTTTTTTCAAAATTTTAAAGAAATAAAACATTAAATACAATACTTGAAGAATGTATTTGTAATTTTAAAAAAAATGCAAAAGAGAATTTAAAGGATTATTAAATAGAAACCTAATTTATCAATTCTAATGATTTGTCTGACAATTGTTAAATTTTAATTTGTTAAATATTCTATCATGTGAGGTCTAACCTCAATGCTATATCTTTAGAGGTCATTTAGGAGTAATAAATTAGAGGATGTGACCTTATTGTTGTTAACAATCTTGGTGGAATTGTAAAAATTGTGTTAAATTGTGTACAAAAACATATACACTATTATTAAGTGAATGCCTAAATTGGTTTAGTAGAACTTTCTTCTCCTCATGCCACGCGATAACTTTATATATGCTAAAATAAAAATATTATAATATACAACATAAGCAAATTTTGAATCCAAAACTTTGAGTTTCATTAAAAACATACTTATCACTTAAACAACATACATATTATGATATTAAATTCTTTATTATTCACTTTTATCATTAGTTATCTGAATTGCACACGCATCACATGTGCCATTCGCTAGTATATGTATATAGGGAGGGGCTTCTCTCCCTTCCAAATCAGATTGGAGTGTTGTTGGGCCTTCGTGAGCCCACCACGGAAGGTATATCAATAATTTGAACCATTGAATATGTAGAACTCGTCGAATACTTTATCCCTATAAAAAATCATGTTGATTGGATATCATTGGCCACTTGATCCAATCAGATTTGTGTCAACGGTAATATAATTTTAAAAATAAATTATTGACAGAAATGTGATCTGATTAAATATCGATATCTGATTAACGTAATTTTTAGTAGGAATAAAGTACTCGATGAGCTTTACATATTGAACGGTTCGAATTATCGATGCGGTCTCCTTCATAAAGGCCCAACAACACCCTTCAAAGAACCTAGGTACATATATATAGAAATATATTTGTGATTGAGTGTTTGACGTATTAATTTTTTGGCTAAAATAATTAAAAAGTCAAAATAGCCAATCACATTGTCTTCTTTACTATATTATATATCTTTTCATAAAAAATTAAAAAATTAATTAAAATAATTAATTTTCAAACAACTCTATAAACTGTGGTTGACAATACCTTTGTCATTTAATTATAAAATTTTTGCATGAAACAAACAAGCAAAGAGTATGGCTGAGCAACGAATCTGTAAAATTCGTAATTTGATCCAGTCCAGTCCAATTCAGTAGGTTTGGATTAGTTTTTTGAATACGTGGTTCGGTTCTGGATTGAAAAATTAAAAATCCGTAATTCGCAGATTGGTTTCGGATTGAACCTCACGGTTCCGGATTGGAACCGATCTGAACCGTATACAAATAGTCTATATTTTTATTATACACCCTCTTGCATAGTACTTTCTCTTATTTCATATAAAGCTTAAATCCAAACCTAAACTCGCATAATATCTTCTTTGATTACTTTTGTTTGCTAGTTTTTAGCGTTAATTTCTAATGGTCTAAATACTTATGGTGGAGCCAGTTTTCTTATGGTTGTTTAAATTCTAGAATAATATGTCACTATTATAAAAAGACATGTTGCTATTGTGAAACTAATATGGTGTTATGTTTATATTTTTATGAAATTAAAGTGTCATATACATTTTTTTGTTATTTGATTATGTAAATCTGTGATCCTAAACCGATCCAATCCGTGTTTAAATGGATTGGTTCGGATTGGTTCCATGATTTAAACGGATTGGATTGATTCTAATTTTTTAAGAACCGTAGATAACGGATTAGTTCTGGTTTTATCCTAATCCGGTCCAATCCATACCATGTTCACCTCTAGCAAAGAGGTTGTTCGTTGCACATAATGAGCTGATTATAATTTATGAATTTGTGTTAGACTTTTTGAAGTAATTTTTGCTTATAATTTGTCAAGTACAAAATAATCTAAAAAATAAAATAATAATTATATGAGAACTAGGAGAGAAATACTTTTAATTTTTACTTTATGATTACTAATTTTTCAATTACAATAAATTGTACGGAAAAAAACTAGAAAAAAATCAAAAAATTGTTCTAAACAATCAAATCATTATCTCTATTTTTTTGTAATTTTTTTTTTTGATATAAAAAGTTTAAAAAAGTAATTTCTAAACAAACTCTAAGGATTGGTTCGGGAATAGTTTATTTTAATAATTTTTTAATTAAAATATAAGATCAAAAAAATTAACACCTTGCTTGTTTTTACTTTTCAAAAAATACCTTTCAGAAAATTCTACTTTTTTATTTTTCGCATTTTTTTGTTTTTACTGAATGTTGTTAATATTTTCAGCAATTTTTTTAATTTTTAGACACACCTAACATAAATACACCTAAAAAGTAAAAAAATTTGTAAAAAAAATCTTTTAAAAATTCACTAAATACCAAAAATATAAAAAAAAATACAAGAATTCAGTACATTTTTTGTATTTTTATGTATTTATTAATTTTTTAAAATATTTTTTCACAATTTTTTACTTTTTAGATACATCTAAGTAAGGTGCATCTAAAAAAGTAAAAAAAAATGTTTAAAATTTTAAAAATATTCACTAAAAACAAAAAAATACAAAAATCAAAAAAGTCAATTTTCAAAAACTTAATCTAAAAAACTCAAACCAAACACACTGAATATGTTTGAGATGTTTTATTGATTTTTTTATAAAAAGAAATATGCAAAAAAATAAAAAAGAAATGAAATTTTTGATTTTTTATATAATTATTTGACTTTTTAACCTTTCTAACTATTCTATGATGTGAAAAATAATCAATGTCCACAAATTTCTCTCACAAAAGTATTCATTTATTTGAGAATTTAGCGTTATAAAATGAGTGAGTGCATTATCATTAAAAATCTATAAATACTTTTATGGAAAACAATTATGATCTATAAATACTTTTATGGAAAAAAAATTATGATAATGTAACACTATCATATTTGATGTTGCCAAGCTCACATCACACTCTCTCTTTCTCCAATTTCTCACTGCTTGCCCGAAACCCCCATATCTTGTAGTCGTTTGTAAAGTTAGATTGGAGTGAGTTCGGATAAAATAATCATAAAAAAATAAAATAAAATTTTCAGTAGCAGATTAAAAATTACCACATTTAAATTATAATTATTTTTTTTCTTTTAATTTTTTTTAAAAAAATCATAAAATAATTCATTCTAAATTAAATTTTTTAACTCTAAACTAAAATAGTAAAAAATTAAACTCACCATCGATACCAAACTTTTATGCTGTGTTTGGTTGGAAGATTTGGAAAGGAATTTGAGAAGGAAAAGAAAAAAGAAAAGGTGTGTGAAACTATACGAAATATAAACAAGATTTATTCACATTTCACCTACATTTTCTATTTTCTTTTTCAATTCTCTTCCAAATCTCCCAACCAAATCTCCCAACCAAACATAGAATAACTGTACTGCCAAACGCCAGAAAACAAATGAAAAAGAAAGCCCCCTTTGTTTGTTTGTTTGTTTATATATATCCCTCACATTGCACCCTTCCTTTTCACACTTGTTCCCCGTCTCTCTTTCTTGCAAGTTTTTGGTCAATCCAATCGAAACCCAAAAACCACTTCCATTCCTCTACACTCATCAATACTCTCAAGTCAACAACTACCCACCACTACTACTATATCCCCATCTCTCTTCAATACTTGCAAGTTTTAAGTAGTCTCCAATCGAAACACAAAAACCACATTCATCCTTCTAGTCTTAACAACTGCTTACTAATTACACTGGCTCTCCCAACCATGGACGCTTTCAGCTTGCTCAAATTCTGGCGATTTGCCGCCGGAACCGTTGGATGCGGCCATTCCAACAACCAAACCACCGCTACCACCGATGATGTACGCAATCAACCCGTGCATACCACCGACGACGGCGACGAAGAAGATTCTTTCTTCGATTTGGAATTTACTGCGCCTGGTAACGAACAGATTAACATCTCTGATAGTGATGAAGATGTTGAATCTCCCAATGATGTCATCTTTGAAGGGAGATTCTTTCCATTGGAATCAAATTCAAATTCAAAGCCTCAGTCTCCGATTTCCTTCCTCAGATCTCCTCCCAAGTTTCCGGTCTTCTTGTTGTTTAAGAAGCCTAAATTGGAGAAAACAGAGACCGGCAATGCCTCGAAGCAGTACCAACAGCAGAGCAAACGTTTCGCTGTGAAATGCAAGGTTGAAGAGTTTCCCATTTTCTCATTGCTGGCTAGAGTAAACAGTTCGAGAAGCAAACTGCAGAGGAAGAGTTCAGAAGAAGAGGACGCTGCTTCATCGAAGAGATTCGCAAAGGACTTGGTCCACAAGTATCTGAATCTGATCAAGCCTCTCTACGTTAGGGTTTCGAAAAGATACAGCGAGTTTTCAACGGCGACTCCGTCATCTTCTCTGGCACCGCTTCGAGTGGCGTGCAAGCAACTGGGGAAAAGCCGATCGGTGTCGTCGGGCGCCGGAATCATGCCGATAAAGAGAGGCGATTCGGTGCAGCAGCAGCAGAATGATGGGATCCAGAGCGCTATTCTTCACTGCAAGACATCATATAACTCATCTAGATCCAGAGGTATATTTTACGTTCAATTTTAAACATATGGATCAAGTCAATTCTTATTTGTAGTTGATTAGAGTTTGAATTCGAAATTCAAAGCTTAATCTGATTCACTTGATTTTGGTTTCTCAGAGTTTTCTCTACTGTCACGATCCGCAAGTGATCCTCCCCTCGAGATCTCAGTCAATGCATCAAGAAATTCCACCACGGAGGAGAAGAAAAGCAGCAGCATTTGAACTCTGTTTTTCAGATTCCGAAAGAGAGATGGAAAAGAAAAGAAAAGAAAAGAAAAGAAAGGGCGGGAAAATATTTATTACGATGATGATGATGATTAGATGAACATGAACAGTTTGGTCTGCTTTTTTCTGAAATTATAGCATATAGTAGTGTAATATATACGTATATAAGTCACCTTTTCTTTTCTTTTCTTTTTTTCTTTTGTGGTGTTGTTGTTGTGTGTGTATAGAGGGAGTGGATCTGTGGGAGATATGATGAGCAGAGGAGAGAAAAGGGAAGGGAAGTAGGGGTTCAATTGGAATATTGATGATCATGATAAGTAGTAGTTGTCTGTAAAGCGACTCATCATATCGAATGGGAAACTGGGAAGGAATGATTAAGGTCTTTCGTGTGCCTCAGTATATATGTCTTGTTTTTATTTAGCATATATGTTTCATTTGAACAGCTTCAAATTAAAAACAAAAAACAAAAACAAAAATAAAATTACACTGTTAATTCTTAAATTTTATTATTTGTGTCGTTTTGATTCTTATATTTATAAAGGGGATTTACTTTACAGTGAAACAGACAAAAGAAATAGGGAAAAGTTAGGCATCATGAAATTTTTTTCATGAAAATGATCATGAAAAATTTATGATCTTTGAATTATCTTGATTAATGTGTGGTGCTTTATTCTAAGTGTAATCTAAGAGTCACAACACTTTCATAATTATTTTTATGAAAGATTTTTCATGATACATAACATTGCTGAAAGAAATATACACCATAAACGAGCTTTTCACATGTACCCCACAGCAGAACAACTTGCATCCTTCATGTTTGAACAATTTTTTTCTTGTCCCACTAACAAGTGATTTCCCATATTTTTAATTGATTAAGTTTTAACTTTGAGTTTTAAATTTTGTGTCAATTTAATCTAATTAATAAGATTTTTGATAAAAATAATCATTGAGTTGGTTGAGGTTAACTCAATTATTTGATCAAATTTACAATTTTATTTGTAAAAACATGACACATGCTACTCATTTGCACATTTTTCATAATATATATATATATATATTAACGGTTACAATTGAATCAATTTGTAACAAAATAAAAAATTCAAAATCAAAATCGATCGTCAAAATTTATCCAATTAAAATTATAAGGATAAAAAAATGACAGAAAAGTCAAAATATAGACACTAACACTGTAATTTGTTCAAAAAAAGTAAATTAGATTAATCTCCCTAAAGGCTTGGAAAAATATAATAAATTTTATAATTTTGATATAATTATATTGATTTTTTTTTTTTAGTAAATTTAAAGGGACCAAAACTAATTTAGATGATGTGAAAATATAAGGATAAATAAGAATAAATATATTTTTTAGTGTAAAAATTATGAAAATAATATTTTTATATCTATATGAGATGACTAATGAATGATTAATAAAAATAAGGAATAAGTGACATGTGAATTAAATTTTAAAGTAGCTCAAAATCATAGAATTTACTATACTTATCTAAAGTTCAAAGAAAAATAGTTTATTTTACCCAATAAAAAATGTTTTGTTAAGGACTATTTATTGGAAGTTAGATAATTATTAAGTAATGGAAATTTTCACAGTAGTGACCCTTATTTTGGGATATATCAAGTAAGTTATGACATTTTGTAATTTTGATATTATTTTGTATCATAATCAAGGCACCTTTGATCATAACTGAAATGATCACAATGGATCTTAACCAAAGTCGGAATCAGAATAGCTCATAATTAAGTTATAACTAAACCACAATGAAGCATAACAAAAAAAGTTTTCGGTTATAATCAAAATAATAAGAATAATAGGTCATAACTAAGTAATAACCAACATCACAATGGGGTCATAACCAAACACTACTTGAGGTATAACAAAAGACCTTTCTTATCATAATCAAAATAAGGGTTAATTATACTTAGCACCCTTATACATTTATCATAATGACCCCGCTACGTAGCTCGAAAGAGTTTGGCTCGAATTTAGCTCGACACCAAAACGACGTCATTTTGGTGTCTTTTTTTTTCCTGTGTTTTTGTTGCAAAAGGAAGAAGAAGAAGAATGGTGGAGAAGAAGAGAAGAAATGAGGAGAAGGAGGAAGGAGGAGGAGGAGGAGGAAGGCGGAGGACTGGAGGGGGCATAATCACAGGGGTAGGAGGAGGCGGAGGCGGGGCCGGAGACGACGGCGGTGGTGCTGCAACGATCTCTGGTGCTGCGACGATTGGCAGCGGGTAAGTTGTCCACCTCATTACTATCATAACCATATTTCGTTATAGTTTGTCAATGTACTAAGAAATTAAGAATTGCTATTGTGATTGATAAGTTGTACCTTGCTTGGGTTTTTAATTTCCGAGCTATCAGTATCCAGTCAGATGGATGATTATCATAAATAAATAATCATTCATGAGTGTTTAAAACTTTATGTCGCACCTGGTTTACTAGTTCTAATATGTCAACCTTGACTTTGATCCTGTGCTTATGAGGTGTTGTTTATTTTCTGGAATCACCAAGGTGACTCAGCTCTTTTGCTACAGTTCTACATGTGAATCAAAGGAGACAGACTGTTACCTCTTCCCCTTCTTTTCTTTTTCTTTTTTATTTATAGTTTTAAAGGTCCAACTTTCATATTTCATGAATAGCTAATATTATTACTAAATAAAAGTCCTTTTTTTTAACATACAAAGCATAAAAGCATAACATCATTTTCTTAGGGGGATGATGGGTCGTTTCACACACTAAAAAAAAACATTAAACAATACCAAATTTTTTATAATAGTGGTAAGTTTAGATATTGATCCACAGGGACAAATAGAAAATTAAACTAATTTAATTGTTAAATTTTTAAATTAATTTTGATGAAAGAGATGGTTGTTCATAATCTAATGATAATTAAATTAAATGAAGCGAATAAACTAGCAATTATAATTAAAGATGAAGTTACTAATTTTGGAAAAAATCTAGGGTAATGAATTCACCACTAGTTACATAAATAAAACTTCAATTTGAGACTCAATTATGTTACGGTTCGAACTAAATAATACTTCGCAACTATAAGCTTGAAACATTTATCAAGAGAATTAACATGTTCAATGTATAGGCACAAACCATATCAAGTAGTACGAGTCATTCGCTCTATACTAGGGTAGCAACACGACTCGTCCCTCGTAGTATAGCTCGTCTCATACCTTGAATATGAAAAAATAGAAAACCATTAAACGGAAGGTATTCAACCATCACGGAAAGCATAATACTCAAAAAAATAATGAAAAATTATATTAGAAAACTTTTTGAAAACCACACAACTGTTCAAACCATTACATTAAAGAAAACCAAAAAGAAAACCTATTTACTTGGCTAGGGTTTCATCAAAACCGTAGAAATAGGAGCTTAGCCACTCATGGAGGAGAGGGAAGAAATAGAAGAAGAAAAAGTAGACTCCATGAAAATTTCCCTTGAAGCTTGAGAAATCCCTTTCCAAACGCTAGCCCCTCATTTTCCCTTAAATATTTTCAAACCCTAATCACATCCTTTTTTCTTCTTTTTATTCCCAATAGAACAGACTTAAATTTTCGTGCATGCAACCCTAGATGAGCCACTCAAGCTACCCTAATTTCCGATTGAGCTGTGATGGGCCACACATGCAGTGGAGCCTGCCTGCCCGCACATACGGTGAGGTGGCAGGCCAGGAATTTTCCCTATTCGCACGGAGAATTTGCTTTTGCACCACTTTTTGCTTAAATTTGCGTATTGCCTGCCAAATCTGTACAAGTGCACAAAGCACATCATCTCTACCAAATAAACAAAATTCAAAGACTATAAATGTAACTTAAGCGACCTCAATATGGTATCTTTCGACCTACATCAGGGGATATAAGGGATTGGATTGGGTCGAATGGCCTCCCATCCATTATCCATCTGAATGTAGGCGAATTTAGAAAATCTCCACCCACATCCGTTCGCTCATATTGTCAAAACTGCCTAAAAAAATGAATGAGTTGGGTTAGGTTGGTCAATTTTGGAGAGTCAATTGGGTTCATGAACACTCCTAGAAGTCATAATTAGAGCATATGGACACCTCTATTGTGATCATTTTGCATTCATTTTAATTATAGGAATTTTAATTTTGTTTGTATTATATGTGGTGTGATTTGTATGTGATTTAGTTGTTAGGGGATTTTGATTTGAATAAAAAATTAATTACCTATAAGACTTAGAAACCCCTAAGTGACAAGTTTAACTAATTCAGTTTAATATGTGAAGCCTAAAAATTAAGTGAGATTAGTAAAAATCAAGAATAATTAATTAAGACTTAATTGGAATTGATTAAGTTAAGTGTTAATCATAATTAATTAGGACTAAGTGGTGATTAATTAAGCAAAGGTGCAATTAGTGTATTAAGCTAATCCTAATCTAATTCTATTCAATATATATATGCGCTAAGGGTTGAGAGGCTACATCCATATTGTGCTGGAAAATTTAGAGTTAGAGAGAGTGTGCGCTCAAGAAATTGAAAAGAAAGTGTAGAAGAAGATAGGATTAAGTTTCGTCACAATATTGAATTATTCATCAACTCTAGGTAAGATTTCTAAGTCAATTCTTGTAGATAATCCTTCATACACCGTGAATTAAGAAAGAATTGGAACCAATTGCTTGTAATTTAAAAGGAATTAGCAAAAAGATGATGAATTTCAACTAGAATCATGAATTATGGAAGTTGATTTGGAATTTGATCATTTTGAGCTTGAATTTCATTACCTTTGTTGAGTTTGAGTTTCAATTCTATATGCATGAGTGAATTCTACAAGTTTTGATACCTCACTTGCATATTTCTCAGAAATTTCATAAGTTTACACCTTCAATTTCATGTTATGAAAACCACAGAGAAGAGAGATTGAAAAACATAACATGCAGGGAGTTTTGATTTAAGTTTTGACAAATTAAAGGAGTTTTGAGAAAACGATTTGAAATTCACCATCTATTTATGATTTCTAGTACATTTACATGTTTTTGGACAAGCCATACAAGACCCTAAGCTTTGAAATTGAATTTGGAAACCATTTCTTTGGATTTTGAAAAATAAAATTTTCACAGGCCGCTCGAGCTGTAACAATCAAAATTTTATTTAATAGACAAAATTACTGAGAACTTGCATTCACCGCTCAAGTAGTGAAAGGACCGCTAGAGCGAACTGCCCTATTTCAGCCAACTTTAAAATGCATCTCTTTGTTCATATTTTCTTTCGTTTTCTTTTTCTAAACATCTTTAGGTATGAATTAAGTCTAATTAAGAGTTAATTAAGTTAGAAACCAACATATGTTAATCAATTAGAAAAGAAAAAAAAAGAAAAAAGAAAAAGAAGTAAGAAT